AAGACGGGGACTCTCTCCGCGCTTCAATGGTTGCCCTAGGATCCTCCCTCTGCTCAAGCTACCACCATCTCCAGATCGGCTCCCCCCATGCCACTGGTCGTGACCGACGCATCGCAGGCATCTACGGAGAAGGAGTAGGTGGAGGTCGGGGGCCAGCATCGCCGGAGGTTGAAGCTATCTGCCCCACCCCGCAAGAAGGAGACTGACTGCGCCCTCGCTTTCAAGCAGAGAGCTTATGGGCTCTGCCTCCATTGCTTGGCGGAGAACCACTTCGTCGCCGACTGTCGTGGGCCTGGCACCTGCCTGGGCCGCGGCCGCTCTGGGCGTCGCGAGCGTGGCTATCCAGACCGCCTCCCTGCCAGCCATGGTCATCTCCGTGGCGCCATGTTGCCGCTGTCTGCTCCTCGCCTCCCCAAACACCCGCCCCCAGCACCTTCACAGCGGTTGCAGAAGCGCTCGTGGGCCTATGTTGTTGCCGCTCTGACTGGGCTCGTTCAAGGGCCCCCTTGTAGCAAATCCGGCGCCCCCTGTTCGGGTCTGTCCGACCCCGACGAGTCGACCTTGGTTGCTGATTTGGGGTTGTTGAAACACCTCTTTGCAGCTCAGACCGAGGTGCTGCGCACCGAGTTGCAGGCTCGTGCGGAGGAGGTCATTCAACCGCTCCGCGACATGGTCGTTGCTCTGCATGGTTGGGCGGCCCAGGTCTCAGGCCTCTTGGAGCGGCTGGAGGCTATCAGTGGCAAAGTTGTTAATTTGTCGGCTGTCAATCAGTCTCTTGAGGCACGAGAGGGAGGGAATATGGGGAACAGTGGGGGACCTTCTTCCTTGGCGCCTTTGGGTTTGCCTCCTCCATGGTGCAAGCATGAGGAGGCGGCACCCTTTGTTGTTGCTGATGGTAATTAATGATGTCAATGAGGCGGGAGTGGCCGGGTGCTTGTTTGATGTTCTAGCAACTATGGCGCTACCTGCAGATGTTCTTCCTGTGGTGGATGTAGCTCTGCACGAGATGGTAATTCAAGGTGAGGAGGAGCAAGCTAAGGTTGCGGAGATAGTCACATCGAGCAATGATATGGAGCATATTGAGGTGGCCTTGCCTGATGGTTTGGTTGGCGAGGTGCCTCCCTTTATCTCCTCTTCGGTGACGCTTGCTTCAGGGGGCACTACCAATATGATGTCTTTGGGTTCCGAGGAGCCACTTGGTGATATTGGTGCGCCATCAACCACCTTGTTGGATGAGTTCCTAAGCAGTTTCAGTTGCGCAGCGCCGCGGTCCTTTCTCGAGGAACCGATACATGTACAGATTGACGGGGCATCTACTTGTTCCAAGAGGCGTAGTGGACGTTTGGATAAGAAGAACAGAAACTGTGACATTCCTGCTGCCAAGCGCGCTGAATATAGGTTGGTAGAGGCTTATGGGGAACTGCCGAAGGGGATGACATCTAAGAAAGGCTCCGAGGAGTATGTGCAAGAGAAGATGAACTCTTATCTTCGGATGTACAAAAGAACCGCTTACGCCGACGGTGATCCAGGCAATTCGTGCATTGGTGGAGGCCAATGGTTGATCTCATTTTTCAAAAGGTTAGGTGCGAGTTCACATCTAGTTGTAGGCATGTTCTTGAGATTGCGGTGCTTATCTTGGGTGGGTATGTTGTGTTGACGATGGTCTTGGGCCTCGGCACCCTTGTATCTGGCTCGGACGACGTCCCTTGAGTGCTAGTCTGGTGTGTGTGGTCTTCGCCAATTTCCCTTAACTAACCGATGCCATGTATGGTTTTTGGGTTCGATTTCCCTTATGAACCGGACAACCTCTCTTCTTCTATATGCAGT